TTGAAACCTAATTCCCACTTAAATAGTACATTTTTAAGATAAAACAAATATTGAAGCTAATTTGTTTTCAAACAAATAACGTAACTCGAAAAGAGAAGCAATTAAAATTTTTTTGTTTATTATGCAAGTACGTGAAAAAGTGCAAACTATTTTTAATTTTAGTTTTTTTTTTTTTTAATTTGGCTTTATTAGAAGAATTACAATCTATACAAAGTACAATAAGTAAAAGTAATAAATAGTTTTAGTTAAATATTAATTCTTTTATGCGGTAAAATAAAATCCGAAATCCGAATCAAATGCAAAAAGGATTGTTTGAAATATTTCACATTACCTTTGTCGTTGAACACACTGTAATAGGTACTAAGTATACCAACTTACTATACCTACCATCTATACCTACCAATACTTATAGCTATTATTTTAATATCTAAGCTCATTAAGAAATCTATAAGTATAAGCTAGTAGTGTATTAATGCCCATTGATTTTATGATAGATACCAATTTAGTCTTATTATTTATTATAATGGTTTTTTTCTGGTTGTAAAACAACTCTGAGAAATCATTTGGATATTTTTTTAATTTTCCTAAGTGTTGGAGCTATTTATTTACCTGCAGACAATTTTAATAAAATATGAGTCGCATTCCTCAAAATCATTATTTAAATGTGATGATTGATGATTGTTTTTAAATTTATTATAGCTGTAAGCAAAAAGAGACAAGTGTTACAGTACTTTTACAAAATTTAACCATAACTTAAGACATACAAATGTAACCAGTTCAATCCTTACTAGTATGGTGATTTTCTTATGAATGTAAATTTGTACCATTTATTCTAAAAACTTAAAAGCTTAAATCGTCTATTTAATAAAAGATTTATTTTTATTTTTCTTACCCTTGCTGCAGCTAGGCGCTGACAAGAAGGCTCTTACTAGAAACACAATACTACCAAACTTGAAATTTTGGGAATAAAAATTATATTATTACTTATTTAACTTTTAATTATTTTGATTATTTTGACTATTGTTTTGTTGTTACATATTTTATTCTTTATATTTTATTTATTTTACTAGCTATTTTATATTGTAATTAACGCTACTATTTGAATTATTGTTAAGCCGAAAGTGTCATATGCATAAATAGATAAATAATTATTACTTAGAAGAGCAAACATTTTTACGACACTAGTAATCATAGCTTTACAGAAAAGAATATTTGATTAGTGGTTAAATATATTTAAAAAGTCACTGAATTTAATAATAAAAGTGACCTTAACAACGTACAACTTATTTTCTGAATACAATTTTAAAAATACCCAAATGATTTTCAGAGTTGTTTTACAACCAGAAAAAAAACCATTATAATAAATAATAAGACTAAATTGGTATCTACCATAAAATCAATGGGCATTAATGTACTTCTAGCTTATACTTATACATTTCGTAATGAGCTTAGACATTTAAATAATAGCTATAAGTATAGGTAGGTATAGTAAGTTGGTATACCTAGTACCTAGAAATAAGTCAATTTAAAAAAGAGGTACTTCATTCCAGTCCTGAAGTTGATAAAAAATATAAAATAATTAAGGTCACAAATTTAGTTTATTGACAGGGGTGTTGTGGTTCTACAAAGGCTTTTACAAAAATTATTTTACTTCTAACACAATTATGTTTAAAATTATTAAATGGTATAATGACCATCATTTTCTTGAATAAATTTTTAAAAAAAAATGATGAAATTATTAATATTTTTAGTATTAAAAACAACATATAATTCAACAAAATTCCTTTATTCTGTTTATTTAACATCAAAACTGAAATTAAATAATTAGTAACAATGAAGAAACTAAGATACATCTAAACAATGTATAAATTATAATGGTTCGGCTTTTTTAAAAATTGAACTAATGATTTTTTCATCCTTGTTAACTGTGATTACTTCACTATTTTCTTTTTGTTTGCTGTAAAATTTAAAATACATTTTATACTGATGTATCATACTACTTTGTTTTTAGATATTATGTACCTGTTTCCTGACCATAAACCATGTTTATTGACGAGTAATAATATCATCAAGGCTGGTAAATGTATAAGTGAAAATCTAAATAAGTTACGCGAAGTCTTACTGTCAGAATTTTGATGAAATTTCCATGCTGTCAAAAAAATATTATACATAAATATACGTATACAAATTAAATGTTCTTAATACAAACACCAAATATACATACCTAAGTACACAAAATAGGCATTTAAAGGAGAAACAGCAATCGCAAAATAAATGTTAGTCAATTCACATAATGGTGCTGCACAACACAAACCAAAAATTCCAATAGTGTAACGTAATGCTGTTCTTCTACATAAACCTTTATCAACATGAAAAAAAAAAAAAATAAATATGTGTATATATTATGATGTATAGAAAATCTTAGGGATGTCATGAGTGAAAAACGAGTTAAGAAAAGAGCAAAAAAGAGCCTATGTCACTTAAGGGACTCCTGTTTAAATTGTTTGACAAATTGAGTAGGTAGAGTCTAAGTGGACAGTAAAAGAATGATTTGTCAGATAAGATTTAATTTTAAAAAAATAAGGGGCGGGTAGGAACTTTTTAAGATTGGACATTAGTCCGTAGTGCCAAATCTGATTGAAAGCTTGGGAGATGTCTAGGAATACTGTTGTACATTTATATTTTTGATTATAAGGAAAATAAATAAATTGATTTAAACCTGGGTTAGTAACAGACATCATTCTGTAACCAGCTCTTGAGTAATCTGGTCTAAGATTCCAAGAAAGTGCATTAAAATGTGGAAACTGCCACGCAAAAAGTAGACCAGCGAGTAATAAACCACCAGAGTCTATCACACCACCTGTACAACCTGCCCATCCCATTAAAGGTGGAATCGCACCAACTAGAAATACAACAATTAATTATATAATGATTAATACATAAGATTTAGCACAATATATACACCAACACTACCAAATATATAACAATAATATTTAATATTTAATTACCTACAGAACCAATCCATGTATTTAAAATACTTAGACGTTTCATTGGTGTATAAATGGATGTGTATAAAAACAGATTTGCAGCACCCAAAGCAGCAGTTACAGGATTTACGCCATAATATAAAGTTGCTAATCCCAATGATCCACTAACTGCCGCAAACGTAAGAGCATGTATTGGTCTACACAATTAAAATTAAATTAAAATCTAATAAAGCAACTGAGTACTGAGTAATATCATTTTTGTTAAAATATATAATATATTTGTCTTCTTCAAATACTTTCATTAATTTTTATTCATATTTATAATCTAAGTATAATATAAATTATCATCAGTTTAATAATCGCTACCACAGTAAGTGATTTACAATACATCTAATAATAATACTAACTGTTTTTAAGTAGATTTAACAACCATAATAATAATTATAAGATATAATTTTGTACCCTCATCTCGGAGTCATTAAATAATTATTACAATTGAATATTTTGTAATGAAATCTATACAAATTTGAATTAGTATATACCTGCCACTGGTTGAAATTAATAGTTCAATTTGATACAATAAAATATTAATATCTTGGCGACTCAGGTAACAACACATGCCAAATACTACCAAGGCTCTTGACAAGTTGAACCAATGACCATAGTAACAAATATTAGTTGTCATTTGTCATATTTGAATCTTAGCCATATACACTATATTATTTAATAAAATCTTGATGGTTTATAGCATAGGCTATTAGTAAACAGTAATGAAAGTTTCATACAAAATTGTACTATTAAACATAATATGGAATATATAACTTAAAACTGAGTGCCAGATATTCTAGACATTTTATAAGTTTGAATTGATATTTTATAGGTACATGGAATAAAATAAAATTGTTATACTTGTTTGAATTATCATTACTTACGTTAATATACCTCGGACCAGTAACCGATTCTTAGTTCTAGACATTTGAGCATCAAATGGGACTTCATGATATTGATTAATAGAATTTGCTGCTCCAGATACCATACCAGTACCAACACTGCAAAGTATGAATGTTACTAAGTCAAATGGACCAGGTGCTATCGCATAACCAGCCATTGTCGTTACAACCACCAAACCTAATAAAATGAAACAGAAATTAATTTATAACACAATATTGTGCAATAAACATTTTTACTTGTTAGTCGACTTTTTGAAAGTTTTAAATAATGTTGATGTAAATCTTTCAAATCTATTCTTGATTCTGTCCATTCTTTGTCACTGAGTTTTTTTTCAATAACAGGTTCTAGTACTGCCGGTGGTCTAATGTCTGGCGATATGGGTATATGCTTATCAACTGTAATGTTAGTAGCAATAAGTGGCTTTGGTTTCAATGTTGATTGCGAAATCTATTTTAAGTCAAAATAATTAAATACTTTGTAGTTGATTACGATGAATTACCTATGCAAATTACTTACCTGTCTTCTAATAAATGAACATGTCAAACAAGTATAGGCGTTTTTGTTGATCTGAAAACCATCGCGTTGAATGGCCCTTACAAGATGATACATGATGTATTTTATACTTCTCTGACTGACTAAAAAGCTCAATCATTTTTATTCAATGAGCCTGTAAAATAAAAATTTTTACTGTGACCTCCAAAACAACAAACAATGATTAAAATAAATGTCAAACAGCAAAACACCAGTTCTAACAGTCAGACATACAAACATTTATGAGCACTCCACTAACATACCTGAAAAAACCAGACCCATTGAACATGTGAAAATCGTTTTATGCAGTCTTCAAATGTTCAAAATGTATTCAATGATCGAGTCAAATGCGGTCTACTGTCTACCACAAATAATCCAAAAAGAATTCTAATCACTGATCTTACGAAAAATTAGTTTAAATTACGTTGTTGATAACAATTCGTTTCAATAACACGTTCCCAACTTCATGTCATACTGTAGTTAATAGTTATTCATCTCGACTTTTGCAAACTTTTTTTAGGTATATACCTAATAATAGTCAGTGTTATTATTATTTATTCATCTACTAGGCTCTTTGTACAAAAACCATGAACTACAACTGACTACAACGACGTGATAAGTTCATGTAAAACACTAGATAAAATATGATAATGTCCATCAACATTTAATAATATGTGAATTTTGCGATTAAGTCTCGACTATACATTTATACTGTTGTTGCCATTACCATAAAAGAAATGGTAGTTAATACTTAATATCGTGTACGGGATTTGAGAACACGGAATGTTAACTATCATTATCTAATTTGTTTTAAAAACATTTAAATATTATACATTATCATGTAATCGAGTCAACACCATACCTATTTAGTTTGTGTACTGTTATAGAATAACTTTTTGAGATCTTACAACTAACTCTTACGCATTTAATAATACCTAGGTATACCATCTTGCATTTGTGGTAAGTTTTCATTCATAATTATTTATTTGAATTTACCCATAAACAAATAATGAATAAACTGAAGACGTTATTTAAGTGCAATTAAATAACGCTCCAGATTTACCTTGGCTTTTGAGAGCCAGGCTTATTGATACATTAATGTGTTCTATTTATCTATTATAGCATCCAAATATTAATTATTTTAGAATCCAGTTATTGAATAAGAAAAATGGAAGTTATTGGTGATTATGAATACAACAGTGCCAATCGCTTGGGACTTGGAGCTTTTGCTATTGTCTTCAAGGGACGCTCTAGGAAAGTAAGTCACTATACAAATTATAGGATTCTTAAAAATAATTGTTAAACAATTAAATGATCTAAGCAACAAAATATTCAGATCAAGGTTTATTCACTAATATTTTTGAATAACATATTCAAAAATTATTACCTATTTAAAATAGTAATTAGTAATTACAAATGAAAATAGCATAAATGTCAAAATAATTTTTCTATACTATACATTTTGTTTTAACAGAAACCTGATATGGACGTAGCTGTTAAAACAATAATGAAGAAAAATATACCAAAAACTCAAAGCCTATTAAAGAAAGAAATAGATATTCTAAGGGTAAGTATTAAAATTTATGTTTTTTATTTGTTATAAATTATCCTTAAAACATAACTTATTTAAAATTAAAGTACTTTTAAAAATAATAGCTTGCTTCCTAAAATGTTATCGTATAGTTATACACGTATACAATTATGTTTCATTTATACAGCTCACTTTTTAGTAACTTATTTTTTATGTTCTTTCAATTATGTGATTAGCCCCAATTATGAAGCTTCATCAAGAACCAATGAGTTAGTGTCACCTGCATTTCTTTCAAATTTGAAAAATAATTCATGAAATTTAATTTTTGAATAACAAATTTTTTTAGATTTCAATAAAATATCACGATTTTATTTTAAGTTTTTTTGTTTTATGTAACTCATTGAGTAACCACTGTTTTATTTGTTCCCGGCAATTAAATCTTTATACTAAAATAGATGTTGAGACACTGACCAGTGTATCTTATTCCTATACATGGTCTAGTGAGTGTGCAGGGTTTGAAAATAGGTGGCGTTACATTTGCATGCTACACATCTCCTAGTTTTTCGCTTTCATTAATATTAGGCATTGTCATTTATTAAATTGCAGCTGTTAATGTCTGTGTTATTGCTACGCATCTCTCCACATTTTCATGAGACATTTTTTAACTAGTATATTTATTATTTGATAGCTGTTAGTTTAATAAGTGTTTTAGATAACACCTTACTTCAATCTTCCACTGTATAAACTATAACAATGATCCAATGATATATTTTATTTATTAACATGTAATAATATTTAATATATTGTAATATGTAGTTAACAATAATGTTTATTTTAGAAATTAACAGTTCTTCAACACGATAATGTTGTACATCTTCTAGAATGCCTGGTAAGTTATATGTTAATACTTAATACTATTAAATTCAATTAATTTAGCTAAAAATATTGTTATTTATAATATGTTTAGGATACTGATGAAGCATTTCATTTGGTTATGGAAGTATGGATGTCAACATTCACATTAATTTAAAACTATTATATTATATTAAACACTTGAATTAATATGTTGTGAATTTTTTTAGTATTGCAATGGCGGGGATTTACAGGATTATTTAAATGGTATTTCTATGAATTTATTAATATTTGGCCGAAAATTTAATTTGTATTAAAAATTGTTGTTTGTTAATGCTAATTTTAAATAGCTATTAAATTATATTTATTTTATTACAATAAACTTTCTCTAGATGGAAAAATATTTACTTTTACAATTCTAAAATAGAATAAAAAATAAAAATTTCAGAATGATTAAAAATTTATCAGAATACTTGTTTTTATCAAAATAATAATAATATGTGAATATTTGTATAATGGTTTAAAATTGTGTTTTTTTTTTCTTGTCCAGTTAAAGGATGCTTAAGTGAAGACACAATACAAGTATTTTTAAGACAACTTGGTAAGTTATAATTATATTACTTTGATAAAAAAAAGTTAAATATTCTAATTCTTTTGTATTTCAGCTGGAGCAATGTATGAATTTAATAAACAAGGAATACTTCATAGAGACTTAAAGCCTCAAAACATCCTATTGAAGTTTTCTGGAGAAACCCGTTATCCAGAGCCTAATCAAATCACTCTTAAAATTGGTAATTACTAATTGGTAGTTTTACTTATCATTATTTGTATTAAAAATAAAATACTCGTGTTGTATGCTACCTACTGAAAAATATGATGTACTTAATTTTATATATGTTATATTTTTATTTAATTTTATGACGGAAAAGTACGCGTGACTTGAATTATTAGGATAAACAGCATATTATAAAAGTCGTACAATACTATAATAGCTGAACAGTTATAAAACTGGTAAATTACCGGTAAATATCCCACAAGAACTTCTTTTAGATATTAAATTGTTTAAGTTTGTGTTATGTCTTTCCACCAAGCAGTGATAAGCAATAAATTTACTAAAAGAAGAATAGCAGCGGTCCATTAAAACTCAACACGAAAATGTATTTGAAGTTTTCTGGTATGATGTAAATACAGCACCATATTATTACATAATAAAATAGTTGACAATGATGATCATCAGCAATACATTCAGACATTAAGTACATTTTAGCTTAATAAATAGTTATTATTTATTAATCAGTATGGAAAAATGGTAAACACCCATATATTTTTTTGGTAGGTAGCATCCTATCATAAAACACTACTATAGAATTTAAACATTTTTAACCAAACTCTGTCTGGCAAGAGACCATGACAGTTCTGCGCATACAGACTGACGACGGAGATTTGTTTCCCCTTCTCTGGGTGTTCTGAAGATGACCATTGTTAAGACGAATGTCCAGTCGTTAGAGCTTGCAGTCGGTCGTTGGATGGTCTAAGGGAGAACACCAGGCTGGGTAAACAAGTGGATGCACAAAACTGGACCAATTTTGGTCGGCACGCCGCACATTCTCTTGCTTGACAGAGTATACCGATGATTAAAAGTTCATTTTAAACACTCATGTATACCTACTGTATAGTTATTGATCTGTAAACACCTTTTCTTAGCTGATTTTGGGTTTGCTCGATGCTTGGATGAAGGAGTAATGGCAGCTACAATGTGTGGTTCTCCTATGTACATGGTAAATTTATATAATTTGATTTGTTTTAAGACTAATTCAACCAGCTTATAAATAAAATTTAAAATTCATTTTTTTCAATTTGTATTTGATTGTATGTACAATTTAGGCTCCTGAAGTAATTATGTCACTACAGTATGATGCTAAGGCGGATTTGTGGAGCTTAGGTACAATCATATTTCAATGCTTAGCTGGTAAAGCTCCATTCTTCGCAAATTCACCTGCAGGATTGAAACAAATTTATGAAAAAACTAGCAATTTAATGCCGAAGTATATTTGATTAGCAAAATACCAAAATTTAGTGAAGAACAAATTATTTTTATTTTTATTTTTGTTGAATCTTAGAATTCCTCCAGGAACATCGTCAGATTTATCAAACTTATTGTTTGGTCTTCTCAAGAGAAATCCAAAAGATAGAATATCATTTGAGACCTTTTTTGATCATCCTTTTTTAAGAATGAAACCTCCACCAGTTACTATGCCGTCTCCACTTGCTAACAGCCCCAAAACGCCATCTGGATTTGATCAAGGTCAGTTTAACAGTTAATGCTTTTATTGTTATTAATGTTAAACAGCTAAAATAAATAAATTGTTTCAACTCAAAATTCTAGGTTATCAATATTCCGTCAGTCCTGATCTTTCTGATGAATATGTAATAGTGCCTTCAAACATACCTGCATACCATCAGTAAGTCATCTGATTGAATTATTGTATAATTAAGAACAAGGCAATTTAAAAAAATAAAACTGATATATGAATTAAGTATTAATATCTATATGTAGTTATCATATATTGTTATATATATTAAAAATTATAATATGAACAAATATTAAAAATTGAATTAACTTAAACTTGTACCTGTAATTAATTAATTTTTTAATTAGTTGCCTCTTGAGTTATTTTGTTTTTATTCTATTGTTGTCTCTTTTCTTTTCATAGCGAGAAAGACATAAGTGCTAGTCCTCCAAGACCAAGTACACTTTCAATACAAACTCAACAAGATTACAATAATCCACGATCTCCATTGAGAGTAAGTTTATAGACTGAAAAATTGTTTATAGTTTAAAAAGAAAAAATAATTTCTTCTCATTTTTAATGAACTGCATTTGTGCACAGTGGCATGATATATATTTTTATTTTAGTTTATTGTGTGGTGCAAATAGAGGGAGGGGGATTAAGTTTTAACCAACATAAAAAAAAAATATATATATACTGGTGATGTACTATATATTTCCTGATTTTCTCTAACAGGGTTCTACTATACTTCTAAAACAATATCAAAAGACTATATTTTATTTTGCTAATTACATAGTACATGTTAAACATAATCCACTTGATTATCTAATTGATTGCTTAACAACTAAATTGACAACTAACTTACTTATATGATAAATTGAACACAATTTCTAAAGCTTTAACATAAAAAGATAAATGATTCAATTTTATTACTATATTAAAAATTATACTGATTAGACTAAAAAGAATAAATAATGATTAATAATTTATATATTTATATTTATTTATATTTTTGTTATTCACTTTGGAACAAAGTTATAAATACATATACAAATCACGTGTTAGACAAGTTAGAGATTACTGATAAATTATAATAATACCATCTATGCAAGGTATTTGTTTAAATATAAAAATAATTACATTACATTTGTTGATTGCTGTAATATTTAGCTAAATTGAAATCGATTAATTTTGAATAACTTGCATGAATACTTTTGTGAAATATTTGCAGTTTAAGATTTTCAATATAATATTAAAATTTAAATATTTTAGTCTGTACCTAGATCTCAGCCGATTACAATGAATCCAAGAACTTCAAAGAATATATGTGGGCCAGATTTTTCTTCTATATCTCCACCATCAGTAAGTAGTTTTTATGTTTATTATTATACCATTTATGTAAGATTTAACTAGTTCTTTTGGTAATGTCAATATGGTGTAATGTAGCACATGTATAATATTTTGAGAGTCTAAAAATACACATATTTCAGCTGTTTTTCTGTTTTAATACATTAAAATAACCTGTCTTTATTTACCTTTCTTTATTGAAAAATTCAAGGTTCAGTTTATGCTCGGAACTCCTCCATCAGGAAGAAGAATATCAGAAACGCCACCATATAATACATGGAACTTTACACCAACAAGTTCTCCATTAAAGAAATCGGGTAAATAATGTACTAACTTTGAGGTATTAAAATTGTTATTAATTTTATGTTTATACTCTGTTGTTTTTAGTTCTAAGTTCGCCAATTTTGAACACACAACAATTTACATTTAACACAAACCAAAAAATAGGAACAGTCGGCCTGCCTTTCAGTAATAATAACCGCACTATGACTTTGCCTGGTACATATAAATATTATTAATCTGATTAAGTTATTTAGCGTCTTAGTTCCTCAAAAAAGCTAGACATTAATTTGTTGCAGTGGTGGTCAAGTGATTTTGCTATGGTGGGTGAAGAGGATGTGACTGATTTTTTAACATGCACTATATGGTCATTAAAAATATAATTTATACTATCATAAATATTGAAAAAATGCCACAAAGGGCTTTATCCTTATCATCCACCCCTCCATTATTTGATTGCCACTGATTTTTTAATGTTTATCTTGCTCCTTGTGAGAGGGTGGTTGATATGATAAGAAAGGATTTAGGCATAAAATGACTGGTTGTTAGAGTAAGGGTTCAGGGTTAAAATGATTTAATAGGGGATGTGCTTTTACATTATTATTATTTATTAGTGGTAGTGTTGTAGTAAACATCAATTTTATCATTGAAAATTGTTTTTGGTGGGTCATTTAAGAAGTTTTTTTTTTTTTTTTTATTAAAAGAGAATATATACAATCTGTATTAACTATACAATGAGTAATATGGTTGATTTATTATATATACAAAACTGGACGGCTTGATGGAAGGGAGTGTCCAAGCAACACTACTTCAATTCTAGACTTTTGTTTATGTTTTTATTTTTATTTTTATTTTTTTTATTTGTTGAGGAGGTCCCTGGGCCAATTTCGCTTTAGGCGACGTGGAGGGTTATCTGGGAGAGTGACGGATGAGAGATTGGAAATGAGTGGATTAGGGTGGTTTACTGTGTTATTGTGAAATAATTTATAGTAATGGGAGGCTAGGGTGCTTATGTATGGGATATTAAGGTCAGAGTGGAGTGATAGGTTGCTGACGTACCAGGGTGCGTTTGTGAGGAGACGAAGACAAATTGATTGGAAGGATTGGAATTTTTGAATGTTGGATTTTTTGGAGGTGCCCCATAGCTGTATTCCGTAAGTCATTGAAGGGCGGAGAATTTGTTTATAGATTAGGAGTTTTGTGTTGAGTGGGAGATTAGATCTAAGAAGGTGTTTCATTTTGTGGAGTTTAAAGTTGAGTGATTTCCTTTTTTCTTTTATGTGAACTGCCCAAGTGAGTTTACTGTCGAGGTGGACTCCTAGGTAACGGGTGGCTTGTGCTTTGGGAATCGTGTCGTTGTTGATAGTCATGGGGGGGCTATGGTCTGGACGTAGAGTAAAGGTTATGTGGGTAGATTTATTTGGATTTATTTTGATTCTCCACAAGTTGAACCAGTTTTGTAGTTCGTTGAGATGGGATTGAAGATTATCAGATGCTATGGTTAGGTCAACATTAGTTGATATTATGCCTGTGTCATCTGCGAAAGTAGCAAGAGTGGTGTTCTCGAAGTGAGGAATGTCGGAGGTAAATATATTGTAAAGAGTAGGTGCTAGAATACTTCCCTGGGGGACGCCTGCTTTTATGTAGTGGATTTGTGAGAACTCGTCCTCGCAGCGAACGACAAAGGACCGGTTATGAAGGAAAGATTTTATAATTAAAAACAGGGGGGCTGGTAGAAAACGTATTTTAAATAGTAGACCTTCGTGCCAAACGCGATCGAACGCCTGAGCTACGTCGAGAAAGACGCCAGTGGAGTACTGTTTGTTTTCGAGAGTTTGTGCAATTATGTCGATTAGTCTGTGAACTTGATGGATAGACGAATGTTTATTTTTGAAACCGAATTGAGTGTGGGGGATTATATTATGGCTTTCTAATATAGGGTTTAATCGCTTTAGTATAATCTTTTCTAGAATTTTTGAGAATGAAGGTAAGAGGCTGATAGGACGGTATGAGGAAGGCAGGTCAGGAGGTTTATCAGGTTTTGGAATTAGAATAATTATGGAGTGTTTCCAAGAACGAGGAATGTGGGAGAGACGAAGAATTGAGTTGAGGATGAACGTTAAGAGAAGAATGGCTTTTTTGGGCAAGTGTTTTATTTAAGAAGTTAAAGCTCTTTTTAGACATCAATCAGTTAATTGGGTGGATGGATGAGTATAGGAAGATATATAAGCCAGTCAGTCACAAACATTGTAAGTCTGATTATACGTGTGAGGTGATAGAAGACTGGATAAACACAGTATGTTTGAGTATGCCTGTATTCTCTGGTTTAAAAAAAAATATTGGTATTATAATATAATATTGAATTCTGTTTGTATTTTGAACTTAATAATATTGTTTTCGATTTTGACCCCTTATACTGTTTATACCTAGTTATTTCAAATATTAAGAACAATAATCATTATTTTTAAACATTTGTTTATTTAGAACTTGGAAATATAACTTTTCCAGAACTTCCGCAAGAAACAATATTAGAAGTAAAACTAAAATTACTAATTACATAAATTATTTTGAAAATACCTTAATTGTACAATTATTTTACATTTTAGAAAGAACACATAGAAACATTAGCCAAACTTAATTTTGTATTGGCATTGGTTGAATGCATTGTTGAATGTGCTTCTCCTAAAAGACCACGTTATGAACGATTAGTGCTTTTAATCAGAGCATTACAATTACTTAGTTCTAGCTTAAGTATTGCTACGTCGGAACTCAAAGCTGGTCGATTACAACCTTCGACAAATGTTAAAAATGGTGAGAATAAATTAACAACAATTGTTATCGGCACATAATTTTAATTTTAATGAAAAACTTTGCTCATTTTATTTTTAGTGGTACAACAGCTTAATGAAACTTTTCATAAAGTTTTGGACGACTGTAAACAAATTAATGTACCAAATATGCTACACAATACATCATCATCTACTACAACTGCTGAGAAGTTATTGTATGATTATGCTGTTGAAATTGTAAGTAATTGTTGATCTCATATTTACAATTGGTTTTTTTCTTACAATAATTGTTTTTTAGTGTGCAAAAGCAGCATTAAAAGAACTGGGCAACACACCATATGATTATTTTAAATCTTATCAGACAGCTCAAATACTCTTACATAGTTTATCCCAGCAAGTAAACTCTCCAAGCGACAAAGAAATATTAACACGATGTAATAAATGCATGATGATTTGTATGATTTTAATATAAATGAATTCAAATATTTTTTTTATATTACACAGATCGAGATGCAGTAGAAAAAAGATTGTCTATATTGCAAGACCAAGGTTATGTTTACTCAAATACGGTTAACGGCAACAATTCAACTTAATTAACTGATAAATGATAAAAATGTGCTTACTAATTCTTCAGAATGTTCTAGTCCTTTTCTCTTTTTTTTGTATTTATATGTAAAAATGTGTTGTTTGACATAGTCTGTCCTAATTTCTTAACTGAACAAAATCATTGAAACTATAATATTCACGTTAACAGCCTTATCTCTATGTATTAAGTAATAACTTTTATTATTCATTATGTAAAAAGCTTATAATTTTGATACACAATTTTTATTATTTGTATTTATATATTTCTAAATTATAATAATCCCATACATAATTTAGTTAATTAAGTTACAATACCAATTTACATAATTGGCCAATATTTGGTAAACAGTGATTTATACATAATTCAATAATATTTATTTACTGTATATTAGAAAGTTATCTTTTATTGCTCTATGAGAAGCTTTGTAAATACATTTTTACTGTAATATTCTATAATTCTATTATGTTTGTGAAATTATACTAATCAATTGTATAAAGTATATAATATCAGATGTATTGATAAAAATAAACTATGTATTAATATTCAAAAATTAGAAACAAATTTTACAATAGATACCTATACTGCTATATTTGAAAATAATGAAAAAATATCAAATTAAAAGTTTTTTTGAAAATATCTGTAAGAGTTTATTACTGTATGAGTATTGAGTAATCAACTATACTCTATTCCAAAGAAGTCTGGAAAAATGTACAACGAAAACACGTCCGGTTTCGCATAAGTGTGTCACGTTATCTGTCAGTGGCCTGATCACAAGGAGTAACTGAATCTGTAGCCAATCACATCGGACCTGCATGTGCAATTTTTTCCAGACTTTTTGGAATAGAGTATAGATGCCCCTAATCCTACTGATTTTCTATCTCTTACCTATTTATAATCCGCATTGCGTACATATTATTATTGTAACTAATTTAATTAAATTCCTTGAAATGTAACAATGATAATCATGGAATTAAAAAAAAAATAATTCCAAGTAACATTTGATTAAAACCAATAAAATGCCTCCGTCAAAAGTGAATCACAACTTCTTGTCACTATAGTAAAGCTGTGAATGTTGGGAGACAAAACATTATTATCACCAGATTATTACTTAATAGTTATTTGGCCATGATCAATGGAAACCTAGATATTTTTATATTATACCTACTAACAAAATACAAGACCTCGATCAAGGTCCAATGAATACGTATTTACACATTGTGTTATGCAATACAAATAATAAAAATACAATCATGGCCAGGTGTGGCGTGGTGGTTGGCCGCAGTCCCTAATCTGTTTCAGGCATCGTCCAGCGTCGCTAGCTAGCAGGTGGGTGACCACCTGGATTTTTAGCTACGAATACTGGCCTCACAATTCACATACGCACGTGTAACTCAAAACCAACCATGAATCTACATAAAATTCTTTTGGCTATAGTTGCCAACGCTTTAGAGTTTAGACCGATAAAAATAAGAACACAATTCTACATTGTTTAAGATATTATAGTTCATAGTAATAACTAACAATACGTGTGTAAGTTGAGATATTATAAATTCTAGAACTGTTATAATAATTATTTTAGTGGTGTCGGTTGTTGGTGGTGGAATGAGGGAGAATTTACTTCCCAGATCATGCTTCAAGAAATCCAAAATACAATCATTTGAATTATTATTAATAATATATTTATAAAGTTGTTCCAAATCTCAACATCTTCCAATATTTTTACAAAACATATGAAGCTAAAAACAATTATAAGCTTTTGCTTTTAAGAGGACGTTCCTCCTGAAAGTTTTGTCTCCAACTTCCAAGTGATCAAGTATATCTTACAAGTATGAAACTTATTAAACAGATTTTCATTCAGCAGTTATTATGAGTGTTAAGTAAGTCAGAAAAAGGTTCATAAGCCTATTGATAGTTGAAACTGTGGTGATGGTAGTGGACTATCATTACTGGTCGTGAGCTTTACAATGATCTTTTCCTACTAACTACCAAGGTATTCGATATTGTATAAACGTGACAATGAAAGAAAATATTGAAATATTAGGCACAAAGGACTAATAAAGGTACAACGGATAATTTGAACCTAATTAATTGTCATAATTTTTAAGCAAAGCCGGGCGGATAGCGTTGTACCAGTACCTATAATTATTAAAGATTTGTTAACAAAGAACAATTAATGATTTCTTTACCACAAAAATGATAAAAATTGGTTTTATAATATAACAAAATACTAACATAAAAATTAGTTAGAGTTGGTGGTATATAAAGAGTTTTTGTAGGGTTTTCAATATTTATAAATCGTTGTAAATAAAAAATTTATAAGGTCTTTCGATTAAATTTAAAAATTATATTGCAATAAAATTCTAAATAGATTACACCTTCCCACTTCTTTCCATATTGCACATTTGCACTAAATCTATTCTTTCCCAGTTACCCACATATTTACAAAGACCAAAACAGAGATATAACTATGTCTTTACAGATTAAAGTTTATTTGTATTTAAACCTTTTTGGTTGACTGCCGTCCCAGCTTAAAACACAAATTAATTTAATATTAAACATTATTTTATTTCCTCCATAAAATGGCAAAATGCTTTTACCATTCCAATGATTATACATTTATAAATAATGCTTTTACGTATAAGAGCCAGTGAACATTTTTTAATTTAATTTTTGAGCCCATGATAAACTTCATTCATTTTTATAAATGTTTTAATGCATTGAAGGAATATGACCTCAGATCATATTTTTTTTCATTAATATAACTTAAGTTGGATTTTTGTGTATACATTTTTTAAATATTGACCAGCCATCTTAATGAGAGTGTTAAACCCGTGATCGCCTCACCATTTTTTTTAAATTTAACTTAAATTAATTAAATATTGTGATAGTTTCTTTGGCTTAAAAATTTGGAGATTGTTGAATATAATAGCATAGATCAAATATATTAGTATATTTAATCTATGATGATAGACTGTAGACTCTTTAGTGTGTGTCCCTAGGATATATATTTTTTTTTTCTTGAAATGTATTTGTCCCCGGACGCCAATGTTCCCTCCCCATTTTTTTTCCATTAAATAAATACTAGTCAATTATTTTGTATACATTTTTCAAACATTGACCACCCGATGGCCTCTGGATAAGTTTTGCACTTATAAGATGTATTTTTAAAAATTCTTTGTTGTTTGCTTCTTGAAATGCATCTGCTCGCGGACGCCCACGTTCTCCTTCTAATTTTTTTTCATCTCATCAATCTTTGTATAAACTGTTTAAACATTGACCACCATGGGTGGCCTCAAAAATAAGTTATGTACTTATATGACATATTAAAAAAAAATTTTTTTTGCTCTTTGAAATGCATTTACCTCCTGGCGCCCGAGCTCCACCCCCCTTTCTTAATATTAGTTATTTGATTTTTTTATATACATATTTTAAACTTTGATAGACATGTGCCCTTTCTATAAATATTCATTCGTATAGGAACTAATTTTATTAAAATAACTTTTTTGGTCAAAAAAATTGGAGATTGTAAATTGCAGTGTTTAGTGTGTATCCACAAAAGCGGGTGGTTACTAGTTGCGCCTCGCGGAAAAAAATGTCTTCCAAATTGCTGCCAAGGTCAAGTGGGGACAGAAACTAGGATATTTGTACAATTTATTCAATAGAATGTCAGTTATATTATTGATAAGCTTTCTTATTATATCACAATGTAACGATGAGTAGCCAATATAAAAAAGTTCCAACAACCTATACGGGCGACGGTTGGGTATCTTGCAGGGAGTTGCTCAGGGCTATATCAGTATAAATAATAACAAGCGTAAAAATGCATTAAATTATTTCTTCTGATTATTTTTAGCTATTGTTAAACTATTAAAAAATGTATTTCCCGGGCACTTATATTCATATATGGTACAAAGTAAGTTTTAAACTTTAAGCTTCTAAACTGTAAAAACATTTTTATATTTTTAACTTTTCTTGGAACATATATTATAAATCGTGCATTTTTAATATTACTACATACATTAAATTTATAAATATTACATACTAACTTAAACATGCGTAATATTGTTCTCTGTTTAAAATCACAAACGTTCAATCGTTGACATTTGATAATATTATTAGATTAGTGAATTAACTACTTTGATTTTGGGTTTTTAAATTACCGAAGAAATTCCAAACAGAATCAAGTTTATATGGAAATAAAGTACGTATATTAATACTAATACAACGTTTATTATCTAACTGTCAACGGACAATTCGTTAAGCCGATGAGAAACAGACAAAAAATTTCTATTTTACAAGATCATATTAAATAACACTTGCCTACCATGTTATAATAGTTATGTTATTGTAATTTGATGTTATTATATATATCATATATGACATTTGTGAAATTTGTGACTGAGCTGGAGAACTCCCCCAAATACAATTTACCGATTGAGGAAAATAAATAAGTGATTTCATAGAACCAAACACCAATTCCTTATTACAAGTTAATTTAAAACACTTATACCATTATGATACACATTTTTAGTTATTTAATTTTACGTTATTATAAATAGGTATAATATAAAAAAGTTTAAAGAATTCACAATATGAGTATCAGCTCAAAAAACGAAAACGCCACATTCAATATCTTTCTATTTGATATTTCAATGGTCCATATACCCAACTAACACTATTATACTATTATCATAAACATTCAATTATTTTAATTGTTTATTAGTGTGTAGATTCGAATGAAAAATGATCTAACGATTTCATTTGCTGAGCTACAGTACGAGACATAAATCAGCTGCTGCTGTATTGGTTCGTATAGCATTGTAAATTGTATGATACATTGATATTTGATATACAATCATGAATCAATACCTAATTATTGTAATATATATATTGTACTATATGTATATACTATATAGGTTACTGTTGGGACAAAGTTGATGTACATTCAAATAAGTAAAAAAAAAAAACACTGTCAGGCTTCTTGTCAGTAATAAGAGTCAAAATAATGTAAGTATGTACTTATTACTTAATTATTATATAGGTTACTGTTGGGAACGAAGTT